TTAAAAAAAAAATAAAACCTTGGTTTGTTGTCTCTCCCCAAATGGCCACTCCGCTCTCTCAATTATCCATTCACGTGGATCTCGTTGTCACTCCATGAGTGAAGACTCCAATTCCTCTCTACTTCTACTCTATGAACCACAGGAGCATTTCCGCTCCACTGATACCTTTATCTCATGGTAGCTCCACGACTGAGATCGTAGTTGGCGTGCAGTATCACTCGTTTTGTATATGCTTCTTCGACATCTAGTGTGTTGTCTGCTCGTTCTGCCCCCCCCTGTTTGTATAATAGCATATGTGTATGTATATGTATTCTTTTATTGTGAGGGGCCCTCTCCCCACTTTTGGTCACATGTGGAGAGGAGGGAACAAATTTCAGTCATTTGTATTTCTTTATCGTACGCTCAGTGTCACAGAGCAAGGGAGAACTCTGAAGCGCACATCTTGCTGTTTGTTTCTTCAAATGGAGTCACCGGGTCAAATTTTTTCCTGGTTGAAAAGAAACAGAAAAGTGATAAAAATCCCACACCACTGCGATGACAAGTGAGAGAGAGAGAGAGAGAGAGAGAGAGAGAGAGAGAGAGAGAGAGAGAGAGAGAGAGAGAGAGAGAGAGAGAGAGAGAGAGAGAGAGAGAGAGAGAGAGAGAGAGAGAGAGAGAGAGAGAGAGAGAGGGGGGGGGGGGGGGGGTGGAGGTTCTCGTTGCCATAGAAACTTTGACGCCGAACAAGAAAAAGGGAGGTAGCTTCTTCTCTTTAGTTCATGCTTCGGTCATAAAAGTTGTCTTTATTACTTCCCTTGGATGACGTGATCATGTGATCAAAACAAGGGTGTAAAATGGCGTTGTGATTTCAGCGAAACCACCCAAAGACCTCATCATTCAATTATTGTAACATCGCCCAAGGTGGTGCTGAATTTCGAGATTGTGAGGGATTCATCTTCACTCAGATCATCAGAGCATTGGTTGATGTTCACAGCTTGTATATAAAAGCACCAGTATGGCTTTGAGAGACGTTAAAGTTTGTCTCTTGGGGGTAAGCTCTCTCTGTCTCTATCTCTTCTTTTCATTAGATTCTGAAACTGGAAGTGTAAATGGGCCCTTGGCATGACCATGCCCTTGTCTTTTTTATTCTAGATCTAGATCCTAGGTTTAAACTTATGTTTAATTTGAATTTTCACCTTTAGACTTAGGTCTGTGTACTTTTTTTTGTAGTCAATTTCTTTGAGGCATTATTGGGTTCTAGAATCTAAGGATGACAGTGCGAGTTAAGAAAGTGGCTATTCTCACCCGCCCGGAAGTTCTCGCAAGATCAACTCCTCCCCTCTTCTTTCTCTCTCTGTCTCTTTCTGAATACTGTCTATCGGTGTGGACGATCAAATTGACCAAAACAAAGTTAAAAAATGATGTTAAAACACAAAAGTAAATACATTTGTTGTCTACAAAGATGCTACGGCTATTTAACTTGGCCGGCACTATTTCTCCGAACGTTCGGGAAAATAAAGCTGGGCACTATTTCTCCGAACGTTCGGGAAAATAAAGCTGGGCACTATTTCTCCGCACATTCAGGAAAATAAAGCTGGGCACTATTTCTCCGAACACTCTGAAATATCATCCTTTCCCCCAAATTTCGGATATTATAGAGATCTATAATTATAGTATGGGCCTACCAAAGATTGTTCGTATACAATATGGTTCAATCGGTCCAAAAAATGTCCGCCGTAAATATTTATATAAAGAAATGCAACAATTCCAAACAGTTTTTCGCTATAGATATGACGTGTTGCCTATGAAAGGTGCTGCTTTTAAACGTAATGTGTTGTGTTCACTCGTGTGCTGTCTAGATCTAGATCTACGGAGGGTTATTGATAACGACACATAGAACTGGCATCTGCGTTTGTCACTGCTGCGACCAATGTACTGACACTGGCAAGCCCCTTAATGTGTGTGATTCCATAATTTACATGTAATATCCTGTACTTTTTTAAAAATTACGCACATTTAATTTAGGGTTAAAACTGCCAATCTTCTTCGGACAGGTGGACACACGCCCTTATTTGTTAATGTTTGTTGTTGTTTATAGGCTGTTCTAATTTTGATTTCTTTCTGTTGTGAAACCTTTCTTTTTCACGTTTTTACACTCATCTAAAAATCTCATCTAGACTAGCTGTTGAAAATTGAAATAGATATAGACCCAAAAATTTGCTCCTGTGTGTGTGTGTGTGTGTGTGTGTGTGTGTGTGTGTGTGTGTGTATGTATGTGTGAGTGTTTGAGTGTGTCTGTGTGTGGTAGTAAGTGGAGAGTGAGGAGTGTGTTTGTTTGTTTTTCGGGCTTTATTTCAGCCTTTATTCAGTAACAGTTCAAAGTATACAAAAATAGAAACACAGGATCCAGTGGCTGGTCAGTGTCGTCGTCTTGTAGTTGCTGTCGCCTGTGGATAAACTCGCACATTCTTCCTTTCACCCGCTCTTTCACTCACACTGTCTCTCCATCCACAGTTCAGCTCGTCATACGTTCAAAAGTTGCCCACTAGTTATGTTTAGTTAGTGTGTGTACATGTGCATGATGGTGGTGGGTGTGTGGTGGGTGTTACTGAAGGTTGTCTGTAGGCGGGCTTGCCATGCGGTACGTGTTCCTTCCCAGACCAGAGGCAGAATGAAAGTTGGCGCCGAACTCTCGCAATAAATAGATATATATAGGCAAAAAATCACGAGACCGGAAGCCGAAAACCGTTCGGAGAAATAAAGATCGGCACTATTTCTCCGAACGTTCGGAGAAATAGTCACTTCGATTTAACTTTTCGAATCGAGCCGAACTACGCGGGTCGCCATTTTGTTTTGCCCGGAAATTCTCGCGCTACTCCTCTCTCTCTTTCTCTCTCTCTCTCCACTGCCCACAGACAAAATTGTACGCTTCTAGTAGGCTACAATTGTAATGGAACGTTTGTTCACGGCACAGAATTCTACAATTTTTCCTCACAGTGTAAAATTCTATGGTTTAGGGTGAACGCAAAATTTGGTGAACGCACACCGGGTGAGAATAGCCACAAGACTCGCCTGCACTATTCTCACTCCGGGTGAGAATAGAGGTGGCCGCGAGTTAATCAGATGTTGAACGCAACATGACAACTTTTGGTCAGTCATCCTTGTTACGTTTACACTAGATCTAGATCTACATGAAGCTACTAGCACCTAGCATACCTCTATGATTGGCCCAAATGTAGATGATGTATTTCCGACTATTTTTTCGTCTTCCAGGCCCAGGGCTTCCTTCGCCAGTTGACTAGATCTCACCGTGGCGGGCCCGCTTTGCTGTAGGCTTAGCGCGCGATGGGATCAATGTCACTAGACTAGTTTGGTTTCATCGCCGACTGCTTGGGCTGTGTGTGTGTGCATGTGCTATTGTGTGTGTGTATGTAAGTATATGTGTACAACTTTGAGGAGAAGGTAGATTTATGGAACAAGAATTGCTGAGATTGTTTAATGTAAATTAATGCAGAAAAACAAACACGGCGAGAGCTGGTCAACAGTTACTAGCGAGGGAAACCCAAGAGTCTTGGAGGAAACCACGGAAGAAGACAATTTAAATAGATGGCTCAAATACGTCATCTATATTTGGGCCAATCACAGGTGTGCTTGGTGCTTGCTGTAGCTTCATCTTATGTTACGTTTTCTCATTCTTCACACATTGTGGTTCGCTACTCTATAGTATATATATATACTGTGTGTATATATGATAGAGGTATTATAATCCAATTATTATATAAAGAGTTCTGTTCAAAACCTAAAGTGGGTGGTTGGCGGGTGCTCTGGTGTGGTTTGCTTCTTCTCTCCCATCAAACATCTTCTATCGTCTTTATTTCCCCTTCTTCTTTTTTATGTTTGTTACTCTCTTGTAACACCTCTAGTCTTCTGGCGCTCATATGACCTTATGCAGTTGCGAGCGCGCGCCGTAAAACCCTTTACTAAAACTAAACTAAAACTAAACAAGACCTAAAAACTAAAAGTGGGCCGAGAATGTGTGTTTTAGTCCTGCTACTTTGATTCCAAAGCTATTACATACACAGGCTAGCCACTTGAAGTTGGGGAGTTAGGGAAATGAAAAAGCCGACAGATTGGCTGGTGAGGCCACCTCAGTTGACAGCACGGCTCAACCAGACAGGGTCGAGATCCTGAAATGTCTCTCTCGCCAGCTGATTGAGGAGGAAGATAGGGAGGCAGAGGCGAGTACTGCCGTGGAGAGGATGATGCTTTTGGGAATACAAAAAGGAAGTGAAAAGGCTGGCATCCTTGCAGGAAAGAACAGAAGAACGTTCGACCAGATATATGCACTGGCACAATCAGTAGAAAAAGACCCTCGGCAACATTTTGGAGGGAGCTAGGGAGCATCAGAGCATCATTGGACATGTCCGGAATGCAGGGATGTTGCTTCCTGAAGCCATGAACAATGACAGTTGGGGAGTTACAAACACACAGTCCTAAGAAATTCTGCAAGGTTTAAAAAATGAAAAGGTTTTTGCCCATAACTTGAAACTCAGAAACCATTTTTTATTGTGTCCACGATTTCAATGCTGCGTGCTTGACTCTGAGCGCTAAAGGGAAATTATGGGACATAATGTCACGTGTGCCTCATCATCATCATCATTGCCTTTCTCACCCTGCACCAGGGTATAGGCCACAGACAAACACCTTTCACCTTTCTCTCTCCTGGGCTAGCCTCTTGATGTTATTCCATGTCTTCCCACTTTTCTGTACATCGATTTCTGTGATTCTTCTCCAGGTTCCACGTGGTCTTCCCCTTGATCTCTTACCTTGTGGGTTCCAATCCAAAATTTTCTTTGTTATGCAGCTGCCTGACTTCCTGAGAGTATGTCCAGTCCATAGCCACCGCTTTCTTCCTACCTCATCTCTGACTGGGATCTGTCTTGTTTTCCTGAACACATCCACATTGGTGACCTTGTCTGTCCATCTGACGTGCGCCTCTGAGCATAAAATCAGTTCAACGTTTCATGGATTTTGTTCTCTACTGTTTTGTGTAATTGATCAAATGAAACTTTAAACATGGATCTTTTCCATTTTTCCCAGGAATCTGGTGTTGGTAAATCGAGCATTGTTATGAGATTTGTATCGGACAAATTCAAACAAGCTTTGGAGAGCACCATCGGGTATGTAGATGTGAAAATATAGTTTTATTACATGGATATATATATATATATATATATATATATGCTTTTTCAAAACGTTGACCCATGAATATAACCAGAGCCAGAAAGATATGTAAAGATATATATATGACTTTGGGCCCTGGTTGTAAGTTATAGCGTCTAATTTCCCACTGTTGTATTTGTCAGTTGAATTATTAAGAAATGCTTTACTTCACCACTTTAAATTAGTGTCTGTCTTCTTGTGAACTCTACTTTAATATCTTTATCGTAAACGAACAAAGACCGTTTTTGTCCTCCTGTTTTATAAATATGTTTTTATTTTACATGTATATGTAAGAGTGATTTGGTAGCTAAAATTGAAGTGTCCCCCCCCCCCCCTTTCATTTTAAAGCTTTTTATAAGCCTTTCTACACACACACACATACACTGATACACATTCTCATTCACTCCTGCGACCACACTCTTACTTCATTGAAATGCTGACAGGTGACCTCAGATGGATCTTTTCATGTCTTTCCAGAGCTTCTTTTATGACAAAGACTATATTTGTAGATGGCAGCACGTACAAGTTTCAGATATGGGATACAGCAGGCCAAGAAAAGGTTTGTTTTGATATTTTGTACGACATGTTCCTTCAAATAAAAACATCAGTCAGAAGTAAAAGACCTAGGCTTCTGGTCTGTAACAAAGAAAGATGCAGAAGGTCATTTTTACCATCATCCATCAAAATTCTTCCATCTTAACCACCTTGTATTATATATATATATATGACCTTAGAGCATGCATCAGAATAACATTGACCATGTATCTAGCTTAAGATTATTATTGTTTATATTGCTGCTCATTTATATTATGCATGTGATTGTAAGCCTGTGTGTGTGTCCATGTTTGTGTGTGTGTGCGTGTGTGTCTGTGTGTGTGTCTGTGTGTGTGCATGTGGTGAAACACCAAACCAACGTGCCAAGATCTGGACAATAAAGATATGTATCTTATCTTACCTTGTGATGCTGTAGAATACATAGTTATAGTTATACCCTAGAATGGGAGAATTATATGTATATATATATGTGAATTTTTATCTCTTTGTTCGAACATCTGGCTCTCACCCGGTAAAATTGAAGGCAAACATGGCAAGGTGTAGACCCACGGCAACAGTCAGACATCAAGGGAAGAAACACAAAAACCCCTGAATTTTTAGAGTTAACGGCTTAGAATTATCCGGTGACGATTTGATGATAGTCACATCTTTGTCTATGAGATTGAAGTTCCTGACAGACGTAGTTTTGGAGGAAAACAAGAAGTCAAAGAGGGTTGTAGTGGTAGGAGAAGTAACCGAATGGAATTTGAAGCACATGGAATCAAATTTGACTACTGGAGTAGATATTTAGAAGTCACAGATTTGATAGTGGTTGTCAAAAATCCGAAAGCCCCTGTGCATTTAGGATCAGAACGTACTGATTCAGGTGGCAAGATAAACATTTGTTTGATAAGTGTGCTTATATATCTCCATTTGAAAGTGGTTTATTTGATTAGAGGATCTTATCTTTTTTGTAATGATAGAGTGATGAGTCAGCTCTTGGTGTTTTGCCTTGTGTCGGTGTAAGGTTTAAAGGGCCAGACAGATGCAGCTGAAAAGTTTGGTAATTTGTTTTGTTAGTTTTTGTTTTGATAAGTGTCTTACAGCACTTGCATTAACATGAGTGCGCAGAACACATTATGCATTATCAGTTTAGTAGAAATTAATTTTGAATTTTGCTCGGGTGGCAGCCGAAGCCTACTCTTATTGATTTTGGATCACCAAGGGATCTTTAATGTGGGCAAATTGCACATGGGACCTCCAAGATTTTTTGCCCTTATCCGAGAGGGCTAGGTGTTAGATCTTAACCTACCCAAAGATCAGGGGTGAGACGGAAAGACAGCAGTAAGAAGGAGCCAAGGAGTAGCAGTAGAAAGGCTGCAGAAAGAGTCAGGAGCCCAGGAGGGGGTGGGGGCAGATGGGGGAGACAAAAGCAGATGACAGAATATGGTTAGAGAGCAAGAATGGAGGTGAAATGAGAAGTTTTTAGAGTAGAACATTTTTTGTCGCTGTTAGGTTTCGAACCCGGGAAGGCCAAGCCGAGCTAAGTTGATATAAAATCCCAGCAGCTAGACGGAGACGCATGGTAAATCACAGGAATCATACCCACTTCTTCTATGTGTACTGACGAAGAGCTTGACCAATACCTGACCAATGCTTGTACAAGAGCTGTTTGTAAAAAGTTGACTGAGACAAAAATGAGCACTTATTAAGTAATGTCATCTTATTTGGCGCTTATTACAATATATTATATATCTCTATGATCAGATGTTGAAGTATACATTAAAAAACCTTCAATTGCAACAAAAGAAAATGTCCCTTGATATTTTGGACACATCCTACACTACAGCTAATGGAGATTTACAACACATTTCTCCATCCACGTGGTAAAAAGGATCTATGAATCTTGCAGACTGTCATTTTGCCACTGGTTACAGTTTGTAAATAAAATTTGCCTCATGTTTTTGCAAATGCTCATATATAATATGATATGTGTATTAATATATTTCTGACAGCTTTATAAAACTTTAGGATTTAGCAGAACCACTTTCCATTCTTGAGAAGAGCCCTCTGAGGATCTGAAAGATGGAAAATCGTTGATGCTCTTTGTGCAGGAGACTTGATGATGTAGACATTTTATCTCTTCTTTCAGTACCGTTGAGTACCCCCGCCATTTTATCTCTTCTTTCAGTACCGTTGAGTATCCCCGCCATTTTATCTCTTCTTTCAGTACCGCGCCCTGGCCCCGATGTACTACAGAGGTTCGGCAGCAGCCATCATTGTGTATGATGTAACAAGGGAGGTAAGAACAAGCAGCAAATACAAGAAATCTTCATGTGAGGCATCCTGGTGAAATCAGGCGCTCGTCAAAATTATGAAATCAAAGATAGCATTTTTCTGAGAGTTTCGCAATTTTTGTTGAAATTTGGTTTTTTTGACTCAGCACCTTATATGTCCATTTAAAAAGACATTTTTGTGTGGATTTTCCAGGAATACATTGATTAAAGGCAGGAAAATGTCAACTTTCAGTTTCCAGGGACTCTTAAAGCCATGGAGATCACCACACTATGGCAGCCATTTTCTGGCTAACTTTACCTCTGAAACCAGGCGACCCCACCTCGTTCAATAGCAAATATCTCAACTTTGTCTTTCTTTCAATGAAAATTTTTTTTATATCTTGAATACAAGTCGAGATATTTGCATTTGAAGGAGGTGGGGGTCGCCTGGTCTGAGAGGTAAAATTAGCGAGAGATTGACCGCCAAAGTTTAGTTATTTCCGTAGCTTGAGAGTCGGTTGGAACAGAAAATTTACATTTTTTATGCCTTTAATTGATATTTGTCAGTACAATCCGCACAGGAATGTCTTCTTTAATGGGCATGAAAATTGATAGAAATTCCCTAACCTGCGGAAAAATGCCAGGATCTTCACTTTCATTATTTGGACGAGTGCCTGATTTCACCACGTCGCCTCCCATATAGAGTCTCTCATGTGTATTTTCAATGTTCTAAATTCTATTTACAGGACTGATCAGTCCGTCAATCTTTTCTTTGTTGAGACAGCTCATGGGGTTCTCATACTTCAGAGGGTATGGATAGCAACTTTCACTAGGGTTGGGAAGAAAATAGCAAAAGTCAATCAACAAACTTGTGAATTGAATGACGAATATACGTGTATAGGCAGATATAGTTGAAAAGAAACCACATTAACCATTCCCACATCAAAGCTTTTCATGTGATACTATTTATATATTGTTTTTAAAATTTAATTTAATTTCATTTAATTTCATCTTATGCTACTGTATTTCGTTTTATTTATAAAGAATTTTTTTGGGGTCATTATTTGTTTTTGCTTTAGACATCCTTCCAAGCCGTCAAAAGTTGGGTTCATGAACTTCACCGCCATGGCCCAGCGAAGATAGTGATCGCCATCGCTGGGAACAAGTGTGATTTGGAGGACTTGAGGGAGGTGAGAGAGAAAGGTAGGTCTTGCTGGGGCTGCTCTTTCTTTTGTGTCTGCTCTGTGCCATGATGGAGAGAGGTTAGCACCCCACCCCCCCCCCCCCGTGGCAGTGCTACTGACTGAAGTGTCTTTAGGCCATTCCCAAAGAGGCGACATTACCATATTCTGTGCACAGTAGAATTGTAAATGGGCTGATTCATCAATATCATGCTCATAACTGTGCCTGATCTACAACAGGGAACTGCTGCTTTTTCTTTCCTCATCCTTACTATTGTCATTTTCCTCTACTTCTTTTGTATGTTTGTCACTCTTTTGTGACCCGCTATTTCCAGGGTGCCTTGATAGTCGAAGCAGACTTTGTGCTGTTGAAGTTACAGAGGTGTGCAGAGTAAGTCTGGTTCCCTGTAAGGACTTTTCTGTTGACATCCACCCCTTGGCGCTCATATGACCTTATGTTGCGAGCGCCGTAAAACCTCTGCTAAAACAAAACTAAAGAGAGGTTAATCAACGTAGTAAAGAATAGAATCGAGTTGGGAGGGATGAGAAATCAAGGTGGGGAAAGAAAGAATGAGATACATATTTGCAGATGTTGGGGACAGCATTTTGAGTAAGGTTATGGACAGAGCAGTATGTAAATTGTGTAGATCATGATGAATTTAGCTTGTCTGGGTTTGGACAGCTTGTTTACTATATCAGAACTCTTTATCTGTACTTCTTACCCTTTGAAAAAAAAATGTTCAGAGATTTTCTGTGGGTGGTTGGTGGGTGCTCTGGTGTGGTTTGATTTTTCTTTCCTATGTAACATCTATCGTCCTTATCTCCCCTCCTTCTTTTTTATGTTTGGTACTCTCTTGTAACACCTCTAATCTTCTGGCGCTCATATGACCTTATGCAGTTGCGAGCGCCGTAAAACCTCTACTAAAACTAAACAAGAGATTTTCTCTTTTTTCTGAAATATTGTATGAGTCCGTTTCAATTTTCTATTTTGCTTTTTCATCAGATGCTCAAGACTACGCCCGAGACATTGGTGCCATTTTCTGTGAAACCAGCGCCATGACTGCGGTGAACGTAGCTGAATTGTTCGATGCTATAGGTGGGTCTTCAAAGACGTCTTGTCACGTGAACAGAGAAACAAGCTGCTTGTATATTGTGCTCACTGTATGGCAGCTCAAAGCTAGAGCAGTTGTGACATGATACAATGATTGCACTTAAGAATAAAGCAAATTGTTGCATGTTTCTTTTATTCTGTTAAACTAAAATTTTCTCACTTGCTGTGCTGTATGAAGATGTCCAGATTAAAGGCAGGAACTTTGGAAAAGAATAGAACAAAGTACCACGTTCATTGGTCCTGTTGGGGAAGTTTGGTTGACAACGTCTAGTGTACCACATGTGTGCAACAGTTCGTCAACGTCACATTATGTATATGTGAGGAATCCTTGTGAAACCAGGCGCTGGTCCGTATCATGAAAAATTATGCCCAAAAATTGATGAGCGCCTGATTCCACTGCGTCATGACACATATATAAAAATCACACCAATATAGATAACTTTGCTTGTTCCAGTATTTGTGAGGCAGCGTTGTGGAATCAGGCTCTCATCAAAATAATCAAAGTGAAGAAACTTGCATTTTTCCGCATGTTTGTGATTTTTAATCGAATTTTTGTTTTTTGGCTCAACACCTTTCATGCTCGCCAAAGAACTCATTTCTGAGTGAATTTTTCTGAAAAACGTTCATACAGGCACACAAAATGTAAATTTTCTGTTACCACGGACTCTTGAGCTAAGTAAATAACTAATCTTTGGCGGCCATTTTCTCGCTAATTTTACCTCTGAAAACAGGTGACCCCCACCTCCTTCTTTCGCAAATATCTCGACTTGTATTCAAGATAAATGGATATTTTTATCATTAAAATAAAGACAAGTGAACAAGCTTTAAGATTATACCAATAACTCTACATCCCAAAAAATTGACGAGAGCCTGATTCCACCACGCTGCCTCACATTTGTATTTCTAATGTAAAGTTTTCCTTTAATATATTCTTGAACCTCCTCCTTCCTCCCATTCCTGCCTTATTGGATGAGCATCTTTTGCTTATAGATGTGTTGTTGTTGTTGTTGCTTATAGATATGTTGTTGTTGTTGCTTATAGATATGTTGTTGTTGTTGCTTATAGATATGTTGTAGTTGTTGCTTATAGATGTAGTTTTTGGTTCAAAGTGTAACCTTTACCAAATGTTTACTCTCTCAATAATTCTTGCTTTGTCGGTTCCCAAGAGATACTTTTCGTTGGGTTTCCTATCTCCTTTTTCGATTGATGCAAGTCTGTGGTTTTATTTCCCTTTGCTGCAGCACGCTTACTTCCCCCTGAGGAGCTTGGCGGCGGTGTGGGCCAGACGGGCGGCAGCACCATCCACCTCAAGGGAAATCAGGGGAGGAAATCCAAGAAGTGCTGCGGTGGGTCTGCGGACGGGGACGCGTCGTCACAAACAGGAAACAGACGCAGCGGAGCAGCTTCGCGGGCGAGCGCCAACGCCTCGGTGTCGTACCCGTCTTGATAGTTGTGTACTTAGTCGAAGCATAGACCCGAACAAGACAGTGATCACGAGAGCAGTCGTATAGAATTTTCTTTAGTTTGTGTCATCCGTAGTGAGGTGGCTGGATGCATAAGACACTGCAGTATTCCCTCGCCATATTGCAGTTCACATTTTGCCGAGTCTGTACATCGCGGTATGGGAGTCTGTACATCGCGCTATCGGATTCTGTACATCGCTGTATTTTCTAGATGGAAAGAGGGGAACCGGGGAAGCTCTGTTGATGCACTATTGGTCCAGACGTGACTAGTCAACGCACGCTGTTCACTAGTACAAATAGGAAGCTTTTTAGATACTGTTTGTCTCTCGTACTTCAAGTGTAGAAAGTGCTTGTGCAGGGTGTGGGAGAGGCTAATTAGACGAGGTAGTCCTGACCAATAGCCGGGAAGGTGGGCAAAGTCACAAATTGTGCTTTAGTTTAATCGTTTTTTCCACAAATGTAATTCTGTCATAAATGCGTGGACTGCTATGTCCAATACATCAAAATGAAGATCCACCTTTCTTCTTTTCTATAACACATCATAGTTGTATGCATTTGAAGTTGTATGTTTGTGTGTACTGTTCATTCAAAATGGTATGCTTGTGTATACTGTTCATTCAAAATGGTATGCTTGTGTGTACTGTTCATTCAAAATGGTATGTTTGTGCCAGTTTTGTGAGTACAGAACAACACCTGTCCTACGTCAAGGCATCCATCAAGTTTACAAGGGTGCTAATGTGGGGAGTGAAAAACACCCAGTAGAAATGTCATCATTTCTTTAATAATCATCACAGAACTATATATTTGTATCTATGTAAACAGGAAAGAAAACTGCATTTAGTTAGTGGTCGTTGAGCTAGCCTCAGCTCAAGTAAAACTTTCAGCGTGGACTACCTAATGAGTGGGGGGGGGGGGGGGGGGGGAGGGGGTATTTATAAATGTGTGAAGTACATACTGAATATATTGTGTCTACTAAAACATATTTTCCGCTGTCAAGAGGGGTCCTGGAACGTAACCCCCACGATGTTTGAGGGAATACTTCGAGCATATATTCTTGATTTTTAAAAGAATTCGTAATGTGGTCACAGGTGAGAACGTGTGTGTGAAAAGATGGAACTTGCCAGCGTTGTTGCTGCAAGGACAATGAGTGTGTCCATGTGTCCAGTGATTTGGACTCTGGCTGTAGAGCGCAAAGTCAATGGGGTTATTCATTTTTCTTGTAAAGGTGAGGACAGGGAGCTTGCAAACCCAGATAAAATTTGTGAGACTTTCTATAGTCACACTCTGTCAAAAATACATGTATGTTGCATTTGATGCTCATGAAGCAGAATTAAGGAGTGGCAAGTTGTTATGTGCTGCATGTTTTCTATTGTGCAGGGTTGTTGTTTTTTTCAGTCTTTAGAGTTGGTGAGGGGGCTCGGGGGGGGGCTCTCGTGGCCTAAAGGTTAAGGTGTTCACCTCTCATTCAAAGGTCTCGGGTTCGAATCTGGATAGGGACTGAAAAATTTTCTTCTCTAAAATTGTCTCCTTTCACCTCCTTCCCTGCCCTCTAGCAAGGTTCTGTCATCTGCTTTGTCTCCTCTTTCTGCCCTCATCCCCTCACCTCCTTAATGCTGTCTTTCAGCCACACCCTTGGTCTTCAGGTAGGAAAGATGTACACTTGCCTTCTCGGACAAGGGTGAAAAATCTCGGAGGGCCCGTGTGCAAGTTGCGCATGTTAAAGATCCCTTGGTGGTCTAAAATCGATAAGAGTAGGCTTCAGCCGCCACCTGGGCAAAATTCAAAATTTCTTACCAACTGGAAAAGTTTAATGTGTCCCGCGCGCTCATATGACCTTTTGCAGTTGCGAGCGCTGTAAAACAGAGAACAGCTCAAAGTGATCTTTGTGACATGTAGATAGGTGGTGTTGGGGGGGGGGGGGTGATGGTTGGTTAGACTTACTCTTCACTGACCTTTCTCTAGGGTCATCTCTCTCTCTCTCACAGGCTCATGTCAGTAACAGCTGTCTCAGGATTGTATTTTCATTTTCTGTAACAGCTTTTTGGCTATAAAGTTTATTGATGCTGGCGTTTGTGGTGAAATGGTTGAACTCTGCCTCAGACGCAGAAGACATGGGTTTTAGCTATAGTAGAGGTTTTACGGGGCTCGCAACTGCATACGGTCATATAGCGCCAAAAGACATGGGTTTGATTCCAAAGTAGCAGCGGTAAACCAAGAATGACTTAACAGAAGAAACTGATCAGATGCTTGACAGGAAAAGAAAATGGATGAACGTAATCTTGTTTTAGAGCATCTGAGCAGAATGAACAGTGAACCATTGTGGCCGGCCTGTTTCCGATCTGGCACTATGTGGAGAACAGATCATCTTGTCCTCTTCCTTCATTCTCTTTAATGACAGCGTGAAGTTTGGAATGCGTCTTTTTAACTGCCTGTATAACACAACTATGTAATTTAATTTTTAACAAACTTATTTGCTTCATATTCGAACTGCGATCAATTATTGGTCGATCTTACGCCGGAGTCTATAGTATGGTTTTGTGTACAGTTTTGTGAAGTAAATGAATGATGTCAGTTTGGCTCTGAAGTGAAATTGTTCTGAATGTCTCCAGTTTTTGTCTCGGCCATTTACTTCAACCCACTTTGTGAAATCTTTTTTGTGAACATAATTCCTTCATCAGCGTGAGCATGAGTTGTTGACCTGAAGAGAGGGGGGCTGCTAATTCCCCCACCTGCATCTGAACTGCCGTTGGCGTAAACTTGCCCAAGACCTGTATCATGAAACTGAAACAGGTGTGCTTTTTGTGTCCGCTAATATATATGAAGTTGTTGCTGCTGTTAGATAAGAGTGAAGTTATTGCATATCGTCACTGTCATAAGAACAATGTGTAACTCTTTGCTACCTCGCTTTTCAAGGTGAGGAAATCAACTGTGAAGTTACTCGCTTTTTCATGACGGCGATGATATGTTTTTTCCTGATGGTATGGGGAAAAATTTAGGAACTGACGTTGTTGATATTGTTCGCTCGATGTTATGTTTCGTCTGTGTACTTGTTGCTATCTTTCATGCATAGCTGTGCGTGTGGCTTTGATGCTGTAAGGTTACTCTTCTGAATGCTCCAATAGCCATGTCGGTGGTCTCGCCCCTAGTTGCTGGCCTGATGAGTGTCCATGCACGGTTGGGATTCCAAGTTGAACAAAATCTAAGATCGAGGAAGGGTTGATGGTCGTTGAGCATTTGTTTGAGTACTTAACATTTACAGTACCGTAGTCCGTAGGCTCATATATTATATAGTGGGAAAAACCCAAGTACCACGCCAGTTTAGAATGCTGAAGCCGTGGTTGAATCTTTTTAAATTGAAAAAACGTTGACAGCCCAAGAAACAGGTTTAAAAAATTCACTGAGGTTCGTCAACCGTTCTGCTATCATATAGAGTGACTTCCTTCGAGGTATTTACTTCATTGCAGTGCGTCTATTCGTTGTTTAATTGTGTTTAGTGTGCCTGGTCGCGTCGGCGACTACTGTAAGTGTTAAGTAAGTTCCCTTTCAAATGCAAATGTGATCTGATTGTTGGTGATGCCTACTTAAGACTACGAGCTGCTTTAAGTTATTTTATCTTACACCAAATAGCTGTATTCAATGCAATCTTTTCTTTTTGCTCTGTTGTTTCAATGGGGAAAGGAGAGGCAGTTTGATTGTGGAGGCACAAAGACAGTCTCACCTGGTTGTCTCTGGTTTAACTCGTTGATTACATCCCCTGTTTTGTGACAAAATATTTTAAGACAGTTAAAATTTAAGATTTTGCTCTGAATCGAAAAAGGGAAAAACGAAACTTTCGATAATTGGGGTACACCAAGCCTTTCATGTTGAAACCAAAAAAAGTTCTTGTTGTAAGGCTCACCAATTATGTGTAAGGATTGTGGGTGGTTGGCGGGTACTCTGGTGTGGTTTGCACCTTCTTTCCTGACAAACATCTATCATCCTTATCTCTCCTCCTTCTTTTTTGTTTCTGACTCTCTTGTAACACCACTAATCTTTGGCACTTGTATAACCTAATTGTGTTGCAAGTGCCGTAAAACACTTTCTAAAACAGGTGCTGAAGGGCTGAGTGTTCTCTTTGTTTTAATAATTTTTCGATGCGTGTAGGTTGGTGAAGGGAAAGAGTTGTATGATGATCACTGTCATACTTTTCTCTTTCATGATGTTTACTATTTTCAAAACCAAGTCACTGTTCTGGTAAAAAGAATCTATGCTATGGTCCGTTGGCTGTGGTAGTGTGTGTATTTATTGTGTGTACATAAAGCAAGGTGTGTAATGTAAAGTGTAAAGGTGAACTGTGATGTTCCCTTGTGGGTGGATGAGGCGTGCACTCTGCTTCCCATCTGCAGCCTATGACGTCTATAATGTATTATATTTGTTATTTGGAATAAAGAGATTGAAGTGTACTCAGATGGCCTTTTCGCAGAGTTGTGAGCATCGTAAACCCTTACTACTATACTTACTAAACAAAGAACTTGAAGCAAAGCGTTAAGGAGTCAAGGCATATAATCTAGGTCAGCCAGTGGCTGTGAGACATTGCTGTTGACCAGAACATCTCATCAGCATATACCCCCCGGGGCAGTGCCACTGACTGTAGTGTGCCCCCCGGGGCAGTGCCACTGACTGAAGTGTTACCCCCCGGGGCAGTGCCACTGACTGTAGTGTACCCCCCGGGGCAGTGCCACTGACTGTAGTGACCCCCCGGGGCAGTGCCACTGACTGTAGTGACCCCCCGGGGCAGTGCCACTGACTGTAGTGTTACCCCCCGGGGCAGTGCCACTGACTGTAGTGTAACCCCCCGGGGCAGTGCCACTGACTGTAGTAACCCCCCGGGGCAGTGCCACTGACTGTAGTGTCTTTAGGCCAATCCCAAAGGGGGGACATTTCTCGTTCAAGCATAGTAGAATTGTAAATGGGCTGACTCATGTCTTGCTCATAACTGTGCCTGATCTACAGCAGAGAACTGCTGCTTTTTCTTTCCTAATCCTTACTATTGTCATTTTCCACTACTTCTTTTGTATGATTGTCACTCTTTTGTGAACTGCTATTTTGGGATGCCTTGATAGTCGAAGCAGACTTTGTACTGTTGAAGCTAGAGAGGTGAGCAGAGTAAGTCTGATTCCCTGTAAAGACTTCTCTGTTGACACCCACCCCTTGGCGCTCTTATGACCTTATGCAGTTGCGAGCGCCGTAAAACCCTCTACTATAAAAAAAATATCATCAGCATATTGTCATTTTGTCCATGTCTCAGTCTCAAGAAAATGGAGTAACTCCACTTTTTCATGATATAATTTATTGTGTAATAAATCAGGGTCAAACAGCGAATCTAACTTCTCTTGTCACAGAGATGATATGGTCGCTTTTAAGCACAGGGGGGCTATCCCTGAAAAATGCTGTTTTGAGAAAATCGAAGGTAAAGTTTTTGCCCCTTGTTCAGTTTCTTTAAAAGACAAGAAGAGTTTTCTCATAAAGAAAAATATATACACACCAATGAAACCAAACTTCTCCTC